TGGTATTCCACCTTGACCAACGTCTAATGTTAAAACAACATGGAAACAACATTACACCAGAAAAGAAAGAAACAAAATTAAAATATCTTCTAATTGCATGGTTAATAATCAATCGCCGTTCACATTTGACTCTTCTAAACAAAGTACTCCTCTTCAAAGCAACAATTCGACCAGTATAAAGCTTCGAAATCCAGCTGTGGGGTTTTGCAAGAAAATCCATTATCGAGATTCTCCGCAGATTTGAATGAAAATGCAATAAATAGTCAATGCACCCTGTATTTGACGATATACCTCCGACCAACAGGTGAGCAAACATGGACTGTTGCTCAATCAAAAATCCATTTTGTGAGGGTATCGGAAAGCTGATGCTTTGATGGACCAAGTACGTAGAAAAATATGGTGCCAATGACGCAAAATGGTCTCGTGTAAATTTTTTTGTGTTGTGGTAATCATTGAATGCAGCTACTTATTGATTTACTCTCGTAGGTTGCATGAAAATACACTTTATGTCTTCCTTTTAAAAATGTTATTTTCATGCATAATTCTTTGATTAAAATTTAGTCATTTGCAAGTAATTAAAATTGTGAAGAAAATACTGTGCTAGCAAGCTTATATGCTTATCGCTTATATTTATTCTCTTCAGAAATGAAAAGCAGGCACGCGGAGAATTCTTACATCTACTCGCGATTTCGAAAGCAACTTCATAATATTATTTTCCCATGCATGTTCATCTTTGACTCTCTACTTTCTCGCTCTTAAGAAGAGAAAGTTATGTAACGCTACGAGAAGAAACGGCGAATTTTCGGCAGAAAAAACTCTTATTGCCATGGTAAAGAAGACGTTGATAAATCCACAAGCGAAATTTAGGAGGGGGAGAATACTTTAACACGTGGTGTAGCCAGAATTCATTTTATAGGACCTCGATACCGAAAAATTGAATTCATCAACTTTTTCTTTACCAGGGCAATAAGAGTTTTTCGGCCGTTTTTTCTCGAGGCGTTACATAACTTTCTCTTCTTAAGAAGAACCCTCTTAAGAAGAACCTTCTTAAGAGTGAGAAAGTAGAGAGTCAAAGATGATCATGCATGAGAAAATAATATTATGAACACGTCATCCTGTCTGTCCTTGAACAACACTAGTGGTTAAACCGTTCAGCAGATTTTCTCCAAAATTGGTATTTCACAATTAATCTGGCCGATTGGGGGGGGGGGGCTTACATGAAGCCCCCGGGACATTTTCAAAATTTTCAAAAAAATTGCTCCATCGGTATTTATTAAATTTTGTTGTTGGAGAGTGTGAAGGATGTTTGAGAGAATGGTAGAGGTTTCATTTTCGTTGAAAACACCGATTTTTCGAAAACTGCAGAACTTCGAAACTTTTTCGGCGTCTTCCCACATCTACAATTGTGAAGATATTTTTTTTTCTTAATGAAATGTGTTCATCAAAAATAGTTCTTCAAAAAAATGTCACGTTCAATATTTCGAAAATATGAGTATTTTTTTGGCGTAATTTTAAATGAAAAATAAGCGTTTTAAAACCATTTTAAACAATTTTCTCAGAAACGGCTTCACATTTTGTCTTTCATTTTTATTTTCTTATATAGCAAAAAACTAAAGATAGTGGTGATGGCCCTATTTTGGGCGCACTCTGCATTTCCCAAAATTGCAAAAAAAAATTCCGGAATTGTAAATTCGAATATCGAGCGCTTCGTTTCATGTGTTGCCATTTCGGAAAATAGCAACAAAGAGGATTCCAAATTCTTCAAATTCAACGCATTGTTGTCGGTCGTGATGAATGTGATAATGATAATATTGATATGATGTAGATAATATTCTTATGAAAGGAAATATATTGAAGGAAGATAATACATTTTAACTTAGAACTAACAAACACCTTTCTATCCTTTAAGAAGTTTTAATCGCTGATTATGGTATTAAAGAATTAAAAGCTCTTTTCAAATGTAATCAAGGTTGTGTCAAATTATTCTTGCTTTTCTGTATTATGTTCTGTAAATACTGTAACATTTAGTTTATTCATATTCGTTTCATTTCTAAAAGAAATCACTACTCTTTCTGACAATGGAAATAAATGCAGATAAGCACGAAAGGAGATTCGTTTGAATTAAACTTTTTCAAGCTATAACTGAGTTTTTAGCATGGCATTAATTACAATATTTTAATATTACGTAACTATTTTCAATTATGCAAGAGAGTATATGTCAATGCAGCACCTCCAGTTTGCTAATGAAGGATGACAAACGTTATTTGTGTACACCATCAAATTGTTCATGTAGTCTTAATGTTATTGAACCAATTATTACCATAATTATAATGTGTTATACTGAAAGTGCTCACCGGCTTAGCAGTGACAGTTCGTGAACAAATGTCCAGGGTAGGTAAAATAGATTACTGAACAGCGACAGATAGGTCTGACAGCTAGGTCGACCATTGTCCAAAATTTGTTTTAAATATCGTTTAGACGAGGAAACGGGGAACGAAGCCGTTCATTCATTGTATCTGTCATAATATTAACGTAAAATTAGATTTAAATATTTAAAAAAATATGTAACATAAATCCGCAGCTTACTAATTTAATAACATGAAATGGAAAACATGAATGAAAAACATAAGTACTTCTTAAATAATAATCACTTTCTCCGGTTGTTGTTCGAACAGTAAACACACGCGCTTCGCAGCTTGCATGTGAGTAAAAATCGGAGTCTTCCGTACGGGCAGGCAGAAAGAGAATTCGCTGGCCTACGAACAACGCACATGCGTCTGGCATGAATACGAGTACAGCGTGCTACAGTTCTGCGCTCACTACAGGGCCTTTACTCAGAATACGATGCAAAGCGAAACAGCGCCTGGAAGCGACGTTTATTTTATTTTTTTTAAATTAGTATCAAATGTATTAAACGAGTTCATATTCAGCAGGGTAGGCAGGAACCTTGCATACCGCAAGGACCAGCCACTGTAGCTTAGGATAGGAGCCACTGTGCTTACGTCAGGGCATCAACAGATGTCACTGCAATGTCTTTGACAGGCAGGTCCTTGGGTTCGATTCCTCAGGATTTACACTATCTAGTTAGCATGGTCGAATTCAGCCGCTGGAAGAGAATTCTATAACCCACCTGCTTTGATCGGTAGTTTTCCGTAGTTTGTCCGATCAATATCAAGCGAATGCCCGAGCAGTACTCGAAAGGGCATAGCCGAATAAGATGGTGAAAAGTGCCCCCAAACCAAAACGATAATCGTGATGTCAAAGAGAATCAAAATGTAGATTTTATATATATATATATATATATATATATATATATATATATAAACTCACTAGGGCAATCTGTTGCAGAGGTACGAGAAACGTGTTTTTCATGTTTTATTGTTTTCTCAGCTTCTATTGCATATTTCAGGTTGAAAAAATTGTAGATACGAGGAAAATTAGTTCATTTTCACGGTATTGTTGTCAACCAATATCGACACCAAATTCAAATAGGGAAAAAAATTGAATTCGATTTTCGACGTGATAACATTGGATTACTGTATCAGGGTTTCCCCCAAGAATGTGTCTCATAACATTCTATAAGATACATTTATTTCGGATTTGTAATCAATGACGATGATAGTGGGGAAAAAATTAAAACCAATTTTATCAGTTTAAAAATTTGAAATTAGGTAACAAACTTAAAAACCATACTCACTCACACTATTTCAAACACCTGACACTAAGTCTTTTCTCAGCAAATATTACGCGATTCATGCAAGCCACGAGAATGTATAAGAATTAGAAAAGCCAAACTTGACGTATCATTACCTTCATTTTACAAGTCAGTGAAGTCGTAAACGTTTTAAAGAAATGTTTTAAATTCAAGAACAGCACCGAAGTGCTTTACGAGTTGTATTACACAAAATGTAAAACGAATTTGCTACTTTTTATCATAAAATGCATAGTGAATGTGGTAGTCATTGCCCTAAAACTTGTTTTTCAAGTCTTCTTGTATGAGAATGTAATATTCGTTGCAAATACATCCTGAAAGAAGTGATGCAATCATAACAAAGAATGCCATTCCATCTATAACCCATAATATAAGAGTAAAATAGATATTGAAACGACGTCACTGAGTTTTTTGAAATGTTGAAACCATGTCGTTTTAAAATTCTGATTCTTTTAAAGGATCAGATATATTTAATCCTTTTCGTGTAATTAAAAAATCGCACATGAAATAAATGAAGTATATTAAATAAAAATTTCGATTCAAATTTTCAGTACTTATAGATAAGTGTAACAAAGAAACCATGTGTACACGATATGTTTTGAAGAAAACTCCAATACCAATGTTTTTCATTTACAAATAAGCTGGAAGAGGCGAGGGAAAGTTATCTCCTCTACAGAAAGTAGTTTTTCCAGAAAAAATGTCGGACACAATTCAGATAACTGTTAATTTTTAGGGGTCATTGAAACTTGTTCTAATAAACTTTTACTTAATGTTAATAAATTGTAGGCCAACATATTATGACGAATGAATATTTAAGGGAATTTCAAAACATCCATTGACATAAGCATAAAAATCCCTGTTGCATTAATTTACTGATAAGTCATTTGTCACATATTACAATTTTCAGAAATCCGTAGGTATAGGTTTCTAATATTTCGTTTATATGTTTTTTGAAGAATGTTTTAATATTTAACCCAAAGCGAAATAGGAAATTGTCAGGACCTCTGAACGCCGCGTTCACCGAAGCCCACTCGCTGCGGGAAATTCGAATTGTCGTCGTTGCGACGACAGCGCTCCCGCTGAACCACGTGCAAACATGCCCGAGCGCTATCGTACACAGCAGCGCTGCCTCGTGGCAGTGGCGGGGACTTGTAACACAACCGTATAGATCCATCGTTTCGTTTATCGCCGCCACCGTCGCCACGATGCAGCCGTGCAAACGGGCACGAGAACCACTGCTTCTGCTCCTGATCACATTTCTAAACAAAAGTGGAAAAGCATACTTTACCTTCGAGCCATGAATTATCCAGGTATCGTTGTTCTTCAAAGCCACACTCGCGAACAACTTGCTGAAAAAACAAAATTCCTCGTAAGAGAGAGTTCCATTCTTCAGCATCATTGCGCGTTTGGCGGCGCGGACGCCACTGCTTCTGAAATGGAGGAACATAGTGAGCGGCGTCTGGAGTAGGTTCGGAGAAGGTTGTTTTTTTAAATATATGTGTATGTCGATTATAATTCCTATAAATTTGTATTGTGAGTGGAGAAATATACTTATATTCCCTAGAAAACCATTATTTTGTATTGTTACGGAGAACAATGGGTTTTGTTTACTTTTCAAATATTTTTATGATTAAGTAATTATTATGTTATGAATATTATTAAGTAATCTAACCTAACGTAATTAATTTAATTACGGCACATTTTATTTTGATACAAATTTAATTATTATGACTACGTACTGTATTTTTCTTTTCATTATAAATTGAGAAATTGATAATATAAATTAAGAATTAAAAAATTGTATTTGTAAAAAATGTATTTAGTTTCTTTTTTATTACTTGAAACACACTTTATTTTTTCTATCAAATGTCTAATATTTCCATATTAACATACATTACCAGAATAATTATGAGAATTCCTTAGAATTAAGAATTTATGAGTTGTATTCCTTCAGAAATTAAAGATAAAACACGTAATATTAAGACCATGTTTTTTTGCGAAACTCATCCTTTATTTCCAACAATACGAATTTTACATTCCATTTGAGCGCTCGTAATTGGTCGAACTTTGGTTCGATGGACTGATGTGATACAGATACACGTTTGGCAACACTGCAAAGGAAAGCTGTGGATGGGAGGGGATAGAGCGGGGGATGTTTAATCTACATTCTACAACATCGATATATTCCACCGTATTTTGGTTCAGAATAAGCACTTCAGCAAGCTAGATATCCCTTAAATGCAATATAAATTGATTAACATACAATACAAAAAAGAATAACTTTTATTGTGAATAGTATATTCACTCTATGAACTGTTTACAAAAAATATTGTGTTGTGTTTGTTTCTCAATCTATAGACCATCCTATAGTCCATCCCAGAATGGACGTATAAAAACATTTCAGTAGAAACAATAGCAGATAAAAGGATATTTGATGACAATATACACTATTTTATAAAAATTACTTTACATAGAAAATATCTTAATAAAGAAGTAATACTCGATCGTTTGTTTACAGGAAAAAAATAAATAATATTGACTTTCACAAGTGGGAGAAACCCAAGTGAGGAGCCTCGAGATATCCATTTTGCTGTTCCAGGCAGCGTACGTACGCCTAAATAAGCCCAGGAATCAACACAAACCATTATTTAAAGTAAAACTTGAATAAAAACATGTCAATAATTATTTTAAACCAAAATATATCTCTTTGAAACTTTAGATTGTTTTATTTTATTGTTAATTTGTGGAAATACAATTTTGTGTTTCTCGCAATACTATTGGGCGACAGCGAGGGGAGCGCATGCTCGGCGGAACAGCCATCTAATGGCTCGGCCAATGGGAGGCAGCCTCCATCCTCCTCTGCTTACGCAAACTAGTAGTGAGGCTCCCTACTGCCAAATGAGCAGCAGAGCCAATCACCAGGCCGCGCGTGACACGTCTCTTGACGTTGCCATGGTCACGGGGTCACTGGCGGCCTTGGTTGTCTGACAGGTGCGTGACAGTTGAAGTCTACAATATGTACGCGAAGGGGAAAGGTTCGACCGTCCCTTCGGATGCTCAGGCACGTGAAAAGTAAGTATCACATGCAGAATCGTCGCAATATGAAAGTATATTTTTTATGAAGTGATTTGGTTATGTTCATTTATTTGCCGGCGAAGTGTTCCTGTGTACTGCTTGTTTTTATCTGTGAAGTGTAGTGAATCGAGTGATAATACGTGACTGACACTTTTTTTGGGATGTCACAGTGAAGTAAAAATTCTGACGTGTGTATACCGCGTGGTGCGCGCACGCGGTCTCGCAACATGGTTGCGGTGCGTGTTGTTTACAGTTCACAAGTAGTGCGGTTAGCAGTGTACTACACGTGATATCATGCGAGTGTTTACCTGTGATCGGTCGTAGTGGCAGCATCTTTTGTTGTGCTCTTGTTCTCTCCTTCAACGTTTCCTCCCTTGCTCGCGTTTTTCGTATTTTTTTGAGCATCTTCCGTTTGTGAAGCTTTTTCTTTCGTTTTCCGACGGCCGTTCTCACCCATATAAGTCGGTTTGTTTGCATCGCCTCGATCAAAGTGGACTGCATTTTGTATGTCTCGTGAGATGCCTCCTGGTGATCGGTGAACGCGTCGCCGTTGTCTCCTGATGTTGTGTCGTCGCCTCAACGGAGGTGTGGGCGGTGCAGCTTGGCGTGGCCTCCTGCAACACGTGCTAGTGCGCCGGTGTGTTTACAGTGGATAAACGTATTAGAACCGTTGTTATCACGTCATGCAACGAGCGACTTCATGCATTTCCATGCAGGTTACTTTCGGTGAGGTGTCAGCTGACAGTGCTGCGGACAGCGTGCCTACTGTGAAGTGTTGTGTTGAACTGCGCGCGCTCGGTTCGATTCCCGCGCGCGCGCACGCCATTGAGTTGTAATGCGCGCATTTGAAACGGCGGGATTAGTGTACAGGGTATTTTTTTGAATGTCATGCATTGTTTACACAGATTGCACATGACGTATTGTGGTGTTACTCATGCAACTGTTGTTTCATTTTAGGTTAGCATTATACGTGTATGAGTATTTACTCCACGTAGGTGCTCAGAAAGCCGCACAGACATTTTTATCAGAGGTGAGTATATATATTTCTGTATCATTATTTTTTAAATAATTGCGATATTTCTTGCTAGTGAATAATACGTAAATTACACTTGCGAAACCCTCTATTTCAAGAAAACATACTTCTTATTTTGCGGGATAATAAAGGTGTAGTTTGAATTCGTATGCATTTTGTGTGTACATTTTTTTAGAACAGAATATTCTGATCTCAATATTTTGGATATTTTTATTTATAAATGTGGTAGAATACGAATTTAGATGTTAGGGACATAGTTCCGTTTTAAAAGTTCAGGTTTTTCGCCGCCGCTTTGGGAGATGTGATTATGTTGGGAACGTGCGGCTCCAGCGAAATGGGGGAGGGCAGATGGGAAGGGTCGGGGGAAGCGCGGCGCGTGCAAAAATCAATACGCAGCCAGTGTTCTGGGAGCTTTGGTTGGCAGAGCCCCTCTCCCCCTCCCTCCGGAAACTGCACCGCCACCGCTGCTATCACCGCCACCACCACAACCATCATCACCACCACCCCCGCCGCCGCTTCTCTCATCCTAAACAACCCCATCGTTGTAGCAACCATTGCGATGTTTATTGTCCTTTAAATGTTTTCCAAGTAGTCCATAATATTAAAATTGCAAATAGTTCCCGATATAAATAAATGAACCTTCTAATTTTAATTTACACTTCTCCCTTGTCTATACACTAGCAGTTGAATAGTAATCCTTTGGACCTATCATAATGTTTACTTTCCTTTCCCTTCTACGTCATTTTGAAGTATTATACAATTGGTTTTAATTTGCCACATTCTATTCCAGATACGATGGGAGAAAAATATCACATTAGGAGAACCTCCAGGGTTTCTACATTCCTGGTGGTGGTAAGTACCGTTAATTAATTACTTTTATTATGGTAGTAGACCAGACACTCCGTCTGCTGTCAACTGGGACTTGGTCTGAATAGGCCGAGAAAACAAAGCACAATCTCACTTGGGGGATGAAACACGAGAGACTCCCAGGAGGTTGTAAGTAAACTAGTAATGCCCCTAAGGTTTTATTTTTAATTCAGTGGTGTATTTTGAAACGTTTAGTTTCTTTTTTCTTTGTTTCTTGTGTGTGAAACCAAGTTTGAGACTACGTAAATGAGCAACAGATCAAAACGTGCTACTCCAAAGATCGAAACGTATTAACTGGGATGCGTTTTGAAGTGGTCAAGTTACAGTTATAATATTTTCGGCAGTGATAATTATATTATCACCAATATTGGAATTGATATCCTTTTATTGTGTAAATTTTCGGTGGTGTGCATAGTGAATGTGTAAAAGGGATTGATAATTCCCATCATATTAATTTGAAATGAATTATCGAGTAAAGAGTTTGATATGTTGCTCCAAGAATGTGAACGAACATAAATGCTGGACAAACTTCAGAGACTCAACGTCCTGAGAGAACATCGGAAGAAAATAATGTCAGAGTAAAACTCCAGCATCGAACGATAATAATTGATCAACAAATGTAAATATGTTACCCACCATTATTTCCTTCAAGCACGTATGTGGGTTTTCAACTTATGATTTGTCCCGCGAATTTTGTACTTCAATATAGGGAGTGGAGAGAGAAACCTTCCATCTATTGTAAAAAAAAAAAATATTATTTTCCGACTGCCAGTTTTATCTAATCCTATGTAAGATTTTTGTGCTTAAATGAAAAATATTAGCCATACAATCTTCCTAAAACCCGACCTCAAATATCACGAATATCATGTGTAAATTTGGGAATTCTTATATTTTTTTAAAAACTACTTAAAATCCAGCACTGTTTTTTTCGATCAAAAATAAATGTATTTGCAATAAATAAGGAACATGGAATTTCTTTCCGACAAGAAAAAACGCACATGTTTAGGATGACCATCTCCAGCTTTTAACCGGTGTCTTTCTTCGGGTAATGAGAGATTTTTCGGGCTCCGATTTATATCCGATACCCGAAAATATTATTCTCAACGCTATTGTATTATTGCACTTTTTGAAGCTGTGCAACGATCTTTTACTCTAGTTTAATTCTCCAGATAATTACTACATTAGTTTAATTATAAATAATTATAACGTAGTTTTGTTTAATTCTAAGCGAGTGCAACAAATAATGACAAAAGTTGAAACTACAACCCATCTTAAAGTTCTTGTGGTTGTATAAAAATTGTTCGCTCCTTTGTTGAATTCTGAATTGTAATGCAGACGTTGCAATCTAAATGATTATTAAGAGGAGTATACAGAACAGCAAAAAAATGCCCTTGAACCCAAGACATTGCTGCTGATCCTCGCTGCATTCCAGTTCCTTAACGTTTACAAGAGACCATTAATTCAACTTCGGAGAAAGATTTTTTATTTTAAAAAGATGGTCACCCTAGATACATGTTTTTTTCGAACGCCTATGGAGCAAGCGTTATCATTCTTCCAATTTCCCCTCTCTTACAATAGTGGGGGAGGGGGAGAGTGCTAGGGGAGACGAGACGAGCGTCCCGGTCTGTCCGCTGTGGACTTCTTTTGTTTCGCCTCGCTACGTTGGCGGACTGTTCGGAGAGAGGACTAGGCAAGTTCAAGGTGGCGAAAAGTTGGGAGACGTTTTTCCGATATTCGGAGGCAGTTAGCGCTTCGCAGGCGGCGGCTTCGGGGCGTGGGTTGGCGCTGGCCCACCGGGGAACCGCAGCCCACGTGGCCGTCACGGTCTCCTGGGTCCTAACCGGTAAACACGGAACGTTGGCAACAATGGCCAAGCCGACCGCGGAGGTTGCCTGTGCTGTATCGTCCGTTTCGCATTCCAAGTGCCCCTCCACTCTGGATTCACTAGTTCTGCTAACGAAGATACGAGACAAATTTTCAAAATTGTTAATATATCGGTTGTATTGAGTGATTATGCGTAGTTTTCAGAGGGAGAAAAAAACTATTTCCTTCCTTAATTTGTAGTCATTTTTAACAAGGGCGGATATATTACTTTGGCCTATCTGCTAACGACGCGGAGTCACCCGGACAGCCTAGAAGTTATAATACTTGTAACCAAATACAATTTCTGGACAGAATTGAACAGATGCCCGTTACTATTCTTATTTATGTCAAAAATAAGATTTTATTACGTAAAAGGATTTGCAATTTGAGCAGTGTTTAAGGATGCGAAAATCTTATAGAAATTTGCTGTAGGGTTTCAAAAACGGACAAAGAAATAAAAATTTACCTAGTCTCGCGTGAAATGCCTTAGTAATTAAATTGTCCACAAATAAATATCTTGAAATTGTGGAATTTTAAAATAAAAATCTGTCAAATAATGATAGGTGCAGTAATTTTTATCGTATACGTTTTTCGAGAGTTACCGTTTCATTTTGTGTATATTGTTACTGGAAATGTTAAAGTATGGATATTTCATAACTTTTGTGAAGTATTCTGATATTAAGATAATACGAATTTCTTTGTTGAGTGAGTTTTTATCAATAATTTCTAGAGAGAAGTTTGTTGTTTTGTGAAGGATTCTGAGAGCAACTGCTTTAAACACATTTTAGGAACGTTGAAATAAGGCATTCAAACCAGAACGTACTGGTTTACTCCAGGCAAGCTTGTCGCCATCATTTGATCTATTTCATTCCACGGGACATCCGAATATTTTATCATGCGTTTCGTAACTTATTGTTATCGTATTCCTTGTTTGGGCCTGTGAGTCATCAGAGATAGGAGTTTATTCTTCTTTTACCATTTAGATACTACTTGATTGATGTGTGAAAGTTCGGAATTCTTGTTGGAATTCTTGTTGCTGCTTCAGGACTTTTGTAAAAATGTTCCAGATTAGGGGTCTGGACTAACATCAGATGTTCGAAAAGAAATGTTTCTTTTACTTTCATCTTCAATTTTTATTCTTTTACATAAGAGAAAAATGGTATTATGGTCTCTTTTCTTTCATCATGTAAGAAATCCAATAGACCTTCCTAAACTGCGTTTTGTATTCGCATTA